GATTGGTTTGAATGGATTGAGGGGTCGCTTGTCTTCGGCATCACTTCCAGCACTTCCGGAGCGACTTCGCGGCGGATCTATTGAGCGATCGGTGGAGTACTTGAAGAATGTGAAGAACGACTACAAACAGGTCTTTGTGGACACGACTCACTCATGCAGAGACCGACCGCTGAAGGCCTGTATCTACGGCTCAATCGTCTCATTCTTGGGCTACTGTTTGGCCACAAATCCCGACGAAAGGGATTTAAGACAACAACTGCTCGACTGTCAGAACCTGTTGTCAACGGTTCCCAAATCCATACTAAACACTAATTCATGCGATTATGTCTTAGCAGTGAATCAATTGCTGAACCAAAAGCTATTGAATTATCAAAGTTTTGCTTTCTTTTCGGTGCTCTTCGTCACCGATTATCCCATGGATTGTCGTCTCTATCACAACAACTGTCACTATTTGGGACCAACTCTTGTGTCCTATGTTTGCGATCGCGTTCTCGACATCGGATTCGTCGGAAAGTATCGCCATTTAGACACAAAAATGTTTGATTACGACATTAATGCCAATGAATGGACCACTGGATCCGCTCAATGATAATCCGATTAAACCGATGATTAGAATCTTTTTAATAGATAATTACCACTTGTTTTGTAAATAATTTGTTGAATGAATAAAAAAGTTTGTAAAAGTTTTCATTTGAGAAATACTTTTGGATGTTTAGTCAAAAGTGATTTAGTTTATCATATTTTTGTATATTATTATGAGTGAAGTGTTAAATGGCTTTTCAATTATCACTTCATATTTAATTTTTTAAGAATAGTACACAAAATTAGACTTTTTTCAAATATTTAGATTATATGCTTAAATAAACTATTGTTTTGATTGACAGGAAATCATGAGTTAGAGACACGAGTTTAAGGCCTGACATGTTTTACGTTATGAATTAATAATTTTATAAATTACTGTGAGTTTATGATTAACATACATACCATATACAGTAGGGATAAAGGTTTAAAAAATTAATTGTTTGAAAGATATTTAAATACATTATCATTTGTGATGAACCATAAGAATAATGTATTCAGTACTAGAGTACTATTATGTGCTAAACACTGTTAAACATTTAGTTTAGAGAATACATAAATTAAATTAATTATAATTAATAATTTGTTTGAATACTCACTGCAATTGACGCTCAAAATGATGTGAAAAACAAAAACGATGTATAATAACGAGGTATCCATCAGTTAATCCAACAACTTGTCGTTACAATTAAGACACAATTATATTTCACTTAGCATTTAATATAATAAGGATTAAATGAAAATGAAAATTATGACTAAAAATATTTGACGACAATATTATTTTAGTTTTAAATTTGTTGAGAAAAAAGTCTTAAGACTTATCGACGAGAATACTGAATGGGTTAGAGAGTAAGCGCCAGAACTTGTAATACGAGTTCACTGTCGACTGAATGGCAAAAAAATGCCAAAACTTTTTGAAGTCTTCACTAACGGAAACATTTATTTTATGCTATTATTGAATATTTATTTGTATTACAAATACACTGCTTATATCACTATTTGACTGAATGGCACATTTCAATACAGAAGTCGCGGGGATTCCTTACACTCGTAATGATTGGGATTTCCTAACAATTTGTTTTTGTGCACTCAATTGTGTAATACATTTCATGTTTTTGTTATACTGTAGTACTTTTATGACCACTATTAATTATTTAATTTATTGCACTCACGGTAAGTTGTTTATGATTAGAAATTAGAAATTCTTGAATTTTAAGGTTTGCTTGGTAAATGGCTAAAATGTGCTAAACTAAAAATATTAAAATTATTTGTTGACTACTTTTCGAAGAATTCAAATCTTTTCTAAGAAAAATGATTTATGAATGCATTTGATTTAAAAATTAATGATTTCCTTCACACATTTGGTATATGTATGAATATTTGTTTTACCGGTTAGTGTAGTATTTGGTGCCTTTCTATGAAAGTCGTCTCATATCTATTCAAAACATGTTTAGTGTTTATCGCAATTCAATCAAATAAATCTCCCAAAAAAATATTTCTCAAATATAAATCATTTTATATGTAAAGTACTTATATTTTTCATATGATTAAAATTATTTTGTAAATTCTGTAAGTTTTTAGAAAATTATTTATTTCCGATTAGAAACAAAATCTGTCATAAAATTTGGTCATTTGATAGGAAAATATGGTGTAATTTATAAATATAGTGATATGAATGGTTGCATATATGCCAACGGATTGCGTGTTTATCTCAATTTATAACCACTGACTCGTATGCCATAGCAAACTAGTGCCCCGACTGCGAAACCTATGAGAAAGGGAATGCCTTCTTTGCCACCCGTTTCTACAATCTTTGCGATATAAGTGGCCACAGTATTCCTGAAATCCTGGTCACGATTACGACTACCGGTGCTCATCGTACTACAGGCGCTCAAAGTTATTGCTGTTTATTAGAGGTTAATACAGAATTTGTGTTAGTCTTATATATAGAGTTTAAAACATATTTTGTATTTAGAAACGGATTTTAATAGTGAATTAAAACTTCAAATTTATATTTACTGATAGCGCGTGTATTATTATTTTTTACAAATATTGTATCAGAATCTCTAAATTTAATGTTAAAAAGTTTGTGTTACAAAAATCTTTCAATACGATTAAAATTGAATGAATCATTAAAAATAAATTGAATGTAATTTTTAAAACAATCTCAGAATTTGTAATTATTACAGAATATCAATGTTAGAGATTCCTGTTATAAATAATACATAGAATTCGCGATACAATTCAAATACTAAACAATTATCGCCTGTACACATTTTACTTTGATTTAAATTACATACGCTACAAAATTACAATTTAATATTTTATATTTAAATATAAACAAAATCAAATACTAGACAATAATCAGTTTTGAACCAAACTTTTTTTGGACAAAACTTCATAAATTATGAAAAATGTAAATCACAGTCACCTAACCTAACCTAACCTAACCTAACCTAACCTAACCTAACATTCTGTAAGCCATGCGTTAGTTATACTGTAGTACAGAATATCTGTCAATCATTGTGAGTGAGACACATACACGAGGGCTGAAAGTGCATAAAAGTTTTACATTATATCAAAAGGTACTTAATATTCACCTTTAATACTATATCTTATGGACCGTTTTGTAAATGAATAATAATACATACAAATGAAAACAAATTGCGTTTGTGACACAAATACAACACAACATTACCAATGATTGCTGTCATTGTCTTAATTATGGGATCAGTTATACTCGTGAGTCGTTAGTTGCATGCATTGGTGACCATTCATCGCAGGATGAATATCTATAACTCATGGGACCATCGGATCCAATGGTGACACTATTTGAGCGTTGATTGAGACACTGATGGGAGAAGTGATGGCAACCACAGAGAGATCCGCTTATGAAGACGAGGTCAAGAGGAATATTTGTCGCATTAAGCATATCGTGGACCAAACCATAACCATCTGTCCATCCATTGCGAACCTGGAGTTCCCGCTGACGGCTAATATGATGGCCCTCTTGAACGTCACTTATTCCCATCAAATGAATCTTTACTACCGTTTTGTGCATCACTTCCCGATGGATGCGAACCGACATTTCGTGCACTTCTTGGACACACAGATCGTACCTCTTTGGCCGAAGGGATGTATGACTCGCCAGAAACTCATCCACGCCATCAGTGTCAGCAACGGCTCCCAATTGAGTGGCATTCCCGGCGCACAACCACTTCATACACCGCACACACCACTGACCACCACATCGACGCCAACGGTAGTGGTGAGTAACGCACCGGAAGTCACCACCGCATCCAACACTGTGGCTAACGCTGAGGTGATAGAGCTGTCCGACGACACCGACGATTCGCAAGACATCGTAGAAGTGGTGAATCAGTCGATGAATGAGACCAACGATGATATGAATGATACAAACGATGATACGATTGATAAGACCGGTGATGATAATACTTCTGGTGATTGTTTGCCATTAAATGTCAAACGATTCAAGAGATTGTGTGTCAGATTAGTAATGAGACCAACGATGATATGAATGATACAAACGATGATACGATTGATAAGACCGGTGATGATAATACTTCTGGTGATTGTTTGCCATTAAATGTCAAACGATTCAAGAGATTGTGTGTCAGATTAGGGCACATATCGTGTGTCTATTGCATAGCGTTTGACAGAACCGGCAAATATGTGTTCACCGGATCCGATGACTTTCTCGTTAAGATCTGGTCGACCATTGAGTGCCGACTGATTGCCACACTTCGCGGACACGAACACGAGATAACAGACATTGCCGTGAATTACGAGAACAGTCTCCTGGCGTCGGGAGACATCAATTATCTCATATTCATTTGGTGTCTAAAGTCGACAAAAGCCCTACAAGTGCTTCGATGCCATCAGCAACAGATCACATCCCTGTCCTTCTGTCCGCTCTCTACAGTATCGTATTTGGTGTCCACCGGAGATGACGGCCGCATCTGCTTCTGGAAGTACAGCGCAGTCACGAAACTCTTCGATGAAAAACCTGATCCACAGATTGTGGAGCAGAAGCTGAAGCGGTCGGGTATCTCGTGCTCGTCCTTCTCGGCCGGCGGACACCTATTGGCTGTCGGTTCCACTGATTCTCACGTCACGATCTATAAGATCAGTGACACTGAAGTGCCACAGAAGATGGTGTCAATGAAGTACCATTCGGGACATGTGGACAGGTATGGCACACGCATTGTAGTTGTCTTTGGTGTGAAGATTTTGACAAATATTTTGCTGTTCGTTATCTCAGAATCCATTTCAGTCACAATAGTCTGCGGTTTGTGTCCGCGAGTACTAACGTCTCGGACTCCAAAGATGTGGACAAAGACAACGCCTTCATCTGGTATTTGGATAATAACTCTTGGAATGTGATCCCTATTAAAGCCTATCAACAGTTATCCGGAGTTAATAACTATAAGACACTGATCTACGAGTTGGAGTGGACTCGAGATGATAACTACATCATAACATCGATGACCGACTACTCCATTAAGATATGGAACTCATCTGACGGACAGTTAATGCATGTGCTCACTGGACATGACGACGAGGTCCACGTGATTCAAAGTCACCCCAATTTGTCTCATGTATTCCTATCGGCCGGTTATGACTCGAAAGCCATTCTCTGGGATCTATTGAAGGGCCGACCCATCAAAACAGTATGATTGCTATTAATGGCTTATTTATCATTAAAACTCATTTGATTTGCAGTTCAATGGACTGAAGGGAAGGGCTATATTGGACGCGGCGTTCAGTCCTGACGGCCGAATGTTTGGCACATCTGACTGTTATGGCCGGTTGTCTCTGTTTGGTTGCGACCCTCCGGAGCCCTACAATGCGGTCCCAAATGAGCTATTCTTTCACTCCGATTATCACCCGATAGCTAACGTTCACCACAAATCGATGTTTGTCGACAAACTCACGAAACTAGAGCCACACCTTCTGCGCATACCATTCCTGGTGGACCTCAATGGGTGTCAATACCCACCAGACGTTCAGTTCGTAGTCCCCGGCAGAGAGTCGACGCTTTACCACCAAAACGAGCCGTACGTCTGTTTCTCTGATAACAAAACATTAGGTAAGAGTTGGCATTGATTTGAGTTTTTAATGTCTTAATTTTGTTCAAACAGTTTTGGGACCGGTATTCGAGTGCAACGACACGTCGGCCACCGAATCGTTTTTTGCCGATAGAGTCAAACACTTGATCGACATATTAGGCACTCATATGACTCGATGGCAAATGTCTGAGATTTTATTTATTAATTACATCCGAATACTGGAACACAAGAAAGATATCAAACCTTTCAAAGAGTTCTTTGATTTATTGGTTAAGTTTTTGGTAAATATGAGCCATTAATTGATATTTGAATTTACGATTGAAAATATGTTTTCTAATGTCATGTAAAGGTTTCAAAAGTAACTGCCGAAGAGTTTTGCTCTGAACTAAATCTAATCATACCGTGTCCGCCCTCTTACCTCATGGTTCCAGTTCTTAAGGTACCACTCGTTATGATGTAGTCTCATATGAAATATGTAATGATTTGTTGTGTTTTCATAGTATTGTCTGCCGTTTNTTTCTCAAACCCGATTCACTCAATGAGATATTCAATAAGAATATATCGCCAAAAGTCAAGGATCTCATACTCGTTAGTACTTCTCATACTTTAGTGAAAGTGATAATTGTATTCATTATTTGTATTTTCATTTACAGAGAGGACTCAATAGGCTTGAGTCCAATAGCAATAGCTCTGAATCCGAGCCCACTATTGATTCAAATCCAACGATTCTAACTCTCAATTCGTTTTCAATTGATTGTAATATTTGTTGTTATTAACAAAATTGCTATATTTGTCTAATGTTTTATTTATTGTTTAATTTAATAGTTATTAATGAAAACTCTGGTCATTCGTTAAACTCTGCCACCAATGCATCCAAAGGCGATCTCAACGATAGTATCACTTATTTGTCAGTAATTCTACTTATATCTAGCCTTCAACCGCTGGAAATCAATAATAAAATACATGCATTTACTCAGAAATTGATTGTAAGCTATTAATTGTATCTCATTTATTGCAATTAATGTTAAACTAATATCTGTTTTTGAACCACAAGAACAATACCATTACTGCCGATGTGTTCATCGCTAAAGTCAAAGAACTTCTCGAACTCGAGATAACAAAAGAAGATTATTCACTACTTTTGAATGTATGCCATAATTATAGCGTTAAACATGTTAATATTGATATTGTTTTTGGATTTTATTTTTTTTATATAGAAAACATTGCCTAAGTTAAGGCATTATATGATTAAAAACATGATATCTCTGGACGGCATCTCATGCGGACCATTAGTGGCGCCCAAAAGTGACCGCAAACTAAGTTGTGGTCAACAATCGGAACACAATTACTCTAACTTAAGATACGAGGAAAGCAATGATAAGCGGACTCTCTATTTGCGCGATAAGACTAAGATTACGGGTCACTATAAGGAACAGGGATGGAAAGTAGCTAATAAGCAGT